AGCTTTAAAAATAGCACATTATACTGGAATAAAATTAGATTACTACACGCGAAAATAACAGAGAAAATTCAGCATGAAATTTGCTGTCAAGGAAGCGCGAATTTCAAATAAGCTTAAAGTTTGCAATTGTAATTCGTGCTTCCGTGACAGGAAATTTCAAGCTTAATTATCTCTGTTATTTTCACGTGTAGTAATCTAATTTTATTCCAATGCAAGGTTCTATTTTTAAAGCTCTTTTCAATGCACTTATCCGTTTAAATATATCTATGAGATTTCGACCAAAATCATTTAGTTGAAAATAGTTAAGATATACAAAAAATTTTTCGCTAAAACGCAAATTTTCAAGTTTGTCAAATAAGTGTTGCAACTTTGGTTATATCGTCGTTTTTTCATAACTTTTTTATAGAATCATGGTATCTACTATCCGCCCCGAGGAATTGGAACAACGCGTGAGGAGTCTCTGTTTGTTTCTGACTGACATCGGAAAAGGTGAAGGACCGAACGAACGGTTCAATTTGTTTAAACATGGTGGAAAAGGTCGCTTCAACCTGGACGCTAATTGTCCAATGGGCAAGTATAGCAACGACCAGCACAAGCTCGTATCCAGTACCTTGGCGCTGATGTTCGGCGAGGAGCACTCGCCTGATTATATTTGCAAGGTCCTCTTCCCTGAGGCACTTATAAAAATATACATGGATGTCCAGGGATGTCAGTACGAGGAGGCCGAGGAGGATCTTTTCAAGATCAACCTGTCCCAACAGTCACAGGTTAGTTACATGTGCTAATTTCGTAATTGGTGTATACTCGTACGAGTAGCTCGAAATAATGTGTTTTTAAACATTGTATTTTTAGGACCCATTCATACAGCAGTTCAAAAGGCGAGAGCCATCACCGTCCCTTTCAGAGGGGGAAGACGATGATGATACGGATGATTCAAACTATGAGGAGGAGGTCGAGGAAGAGGAGGAGGTCGAGGAAGAAGAGGAGGCCGAGGACGAAAGTGAGGAAGGAAAAAAGGTTTGATATTAGATATACTTTTTACATCGATCAGAATACCATTATCTACCCACAGACTTTCTTTACATAGGAGATAGGAAGATTGCGAAAGTTTCCCTTCTGTTAAAAGCAATACAAGTAATAATTTAACACAGCACTTAATGTCCTCATGTATTTTTAATCTTTCCAGAGAAAACGGACCGAGGGCGAAAGTGAGGAGGGCGAAAGCAAGAAAAGAAAAAAGGTTTGATATCAGATATACAAATTTTTACATCGATCAGAATACCATTATCTACCCACAGCCTTTCTTTACATAGGAGATAGGAAGATTGCCAAAGTTCCCCTTCTGTTAAAAGCAATACAAGTAATAATTTAACACAGCACTTAATGTCCTCATGTATTGTTAATCTTTCCAGAGAAAACGGACCGAGGGCGAAAGTGAAGAGGGCGAAAGCAAGAAAGGAAAAAAGGTTTGATATCAGATATACTTTTTACATAGCAGATATATATATATATATATAAATATATATATATATATATATATATATATATATATATATATATATATATATATATATATATATATATATATATATATATATATAAATATATATATATAAATATATATATATATAAATATATATATATAAATATATATATAAATATATATATATATAAATATATATATATAAATATATATATAAATATATATATATAAATATATATAAATATAAATAAAAATATATATATAAATATATATATATAAATATATATGCTAAAACTGTCTGTAGCAATGTGGGTGTACGTACCAATGTGAAAATACTGTGCTGAGTGGTTATATTACTACCTTAAAAAATAAGCAGAAACTCTACGTTTCGAGCGAAGGCCTTTTAATGTAGTAATAATTATAACCACTCAGCACAGCATTTTGATCTGAGATATAGATCAGAATAATATTATTCACACACAGCCTTTCTTTACATAGGAGATAAGAAGATTGAGGCAATGCCCGTTGTGTCCGAGAATGTACAAGTATCTTACTGAACATTTAAAAACCATGCACGGAATGACCCCCAAAGAAGCTGTGCATCTGTCAAGGCAGCGTCGCACAGTTCAAGCTGGTGTAAAACAAAAAAGAAAGCCGTTTCCCTGCCCGGTGGAGGGTTGCGACGTTCAGGCCGCTCGTGTGGACCTTCTCTTGAGAAGGGTCCACAAGTTGAACAAGGAGGACCCTGAATTCCGCAGGTTAGCTGGTTGAAAAAAATTTTATTTCCTGAAGTACATCCCCTAACCGAAAACAGTAACTCATTCCTACCCCCAAAACACTCATTCCTTCTACTCTTTTGTCAGGTACAACGAACAAGTGGCAAACGAAAGAGCGCAACAGAAGCGCGCGGAACTGCTTGCAGCCAAAAAGGCAGAACGAAGAGAAAGGAAAAAGAAAAGTAAGTTACCTCAGCCTTCTAACCCTGACCCATCCATACTTGGAGAAGATGTAACCAGACAGCATGAACTCCAATCCGATTCCTCAGAATCCGAGGAAATAGACACTACCCCGCTGGGCGTGATGCTCGCAGAACCAAGAGCCCCAAAAGAAGACCCCGACAAGGACACCCGTAAAGCTTTCGAGAGCCTCCCTGTCCTTCAATTGTTTAAGCATCATTTGAAGGACTTTGAGGGGGGCTCTCGAAAGCCTCAAGTGGCGAAAGACCATACGAGGCGGGTGTGTCGACTTTTGTATGAAATAGACGACCACCCAAGCTCAGTGAAACCTCTCTGGGACAGTAACAATATTAACTATCTTAAAAACAACTTCTTCAAGGGTAATGACTTACTGGGAGAGGAGGAGAAGAGACAGCCAACAACGCTAAAGGCGTATATTGGATCACTGCGCCTCTTCTTCCAGTTTGTTATTGCCCGGCAAGAAGAAATCAGGAAGTTGGAAGACTTCGGTGATGCAGATCTTCGCTTAGTCAATTCTGCTATGGCCAGGTTGGAGACCTGGCCAAAGGCGTTGGCAGACGCCATGAACAAACGGAAGGCAGATATCCGTCTGCGGGACGTGGATGAGAAGCTGTGTGTCAAAGATTACGAGGCATTCTTCCACAGCCAAAGAGATTAAAAGGATGTTCCTAAGCGTGCAAAACCAGGACGATCCCACAGTCAGTGTGAATGACTTTGCGGCAATGAGAGATTATTTGCTCCTGAGAGTTTTAGTTGCTAGCGGCCAGCGGTGCGGGGCCGCATCTAATCTCACAATCTTTGAATATCAAAATGGAACTACGTCAGGCCCAGAGCAGCTATTTGTCACCCGAACCCTTCGCCACAAAATGGCGGCCGGAGGGCCGGCCAAATTGTTTTGGGATAACAAAATAAAGCCATACGCAGATACCTATCTGCAAGAACTGTGTGCGAAGTACGCAACGGAGAGTTCTGTGGCACCAGCGGCCCTGGGAATTCCCGCTCTGCCATTGTTTTTTATTTCCTCGAAAGGGAATCCTCTAGACGAGTCTCGAGCAAGTAATAGCCTTGCTCAGATGGGTAAACAGGTGGCCCCTCAGCTGAAGGGGACACTGAAGAGTTCCCGTCTGCGGAAGAGCCTCATTAGTCTACAACGAGGGGAGACCTCTGCTGCTGGGTCGAAGGCCCAGCTGGCCAAGCAAATGGGGCATTCGGTGGAAACCGCTGAACAATATTATAACCTGCAACAGGAAGGTGATGCAAACGTGCATAACCTCATTGAAAGATTGACGCACGGAACCGAAACTGTGCCACTCATTGACCCCCAACTATCCCCTTTACCCCAGGAAGTCGAAGGTGGAGAGCAAGTCGAAGGTGGTCTAGAGCAAGTCAGTGGAGAGGAAGTCGGGGGTGGAGAGGAAGGCGGGGGTGACGAGGACAGCGACAACGACTCAATTGACGATATATCATTCCTGAAAAGGAATGAAATCAAAAGGGGGTTCGGCCACTTGCTCCAGCCTGACCGAATGATCCTTCCACCAGTGGTGCAAGTGAGAAAGTCAAGGAACAATATAATTAAAGACTTAAAGACCAGCACTGTGGTGCGATTTCTTGAAATGGAGAAGAAGAAAGGCGTAAGGCCTGATGTACAGAAAGCGGAATCTTCCAAGGGTTCAACCGATCTTGACCTGCCAGCCCCTGTGAGCTCCGCGACAGACACTCGTTTGTTCACACCTCTGGAAACCAGTTTGATAATGGCAGTTTTGAACATGCTTCCTCCGAAAGCCAGTGGCCGGGAATGCCTTAGAACAATTAACAACGACCAAAATTGCCAGGAATAAAATATTACACAAAGATACACGCAACAACAATTGGTTGACAAAATCAAAACCATCAGAAGAAAAGCTGCCCGGGAGGCACCAAAATTCTGAGTGTATATATATATTATAATTAGGGCCTGTTCATATGGGCAAAATTTATCCCGGTTAGCAAGAAAACTTTTCGACAAGTTTACAAGCGAGATCTCGCCTTGGTATAAAAATAATATGAAAAGTTACACTGCGTTCATATGAGACAAAAAGTTTTCCCGTGCACCGAGATCTCGCTTGTTGACAGGCGAGATCTCGGTAAGCGGGATAACTAACAGGATAACTTTTACCCATATGAACAGGCCCTTAGTCAATTGATTAAGGTAGTTAGGGACAGGTATAAGGGTTCTGGTAGAATGGTATTTGGGTTGCACATTATTAAATTACTTTGTTAGGGGTTAGGGATGGGTATAAGGGTTCTGGGTTGCACATTATTAAATTACATTGTTAGGGTTACGGATGGGTATAAGGGTTCTGGAACTCGTTGCACATTATTAAATTACATTGTTAGGGGTTAAGTATGGGTATAACGGTTTTGGACATAGATATCTTACATACCCTAGATAGCGCATCTCTTTTAGGAGTTTGGAGTTTCCCACTCGCTAATAAACGTTTAAAAACGGCAATAACTTTCATCATTTTAATAGATTATGGAGTCGTTATAAAACCGTACAAAACTCAAAAGGATCTGTTTTAGTAATGAGGTCCATTTTATATTTCAAATAGATCGGGGAAAAATCTTTGATTATGGCAAAAAGGAGTCATTGGAACAGGGACAGAAGTTCAATTCCTTTTTGCAGCCTGTTGCTCCTGCACCAAGAACAACTAATGTGCCTAAGAGGAAGTTGGACCAACAGTTACCACCAATAAAAAAAAGAAAAAAGAAAAGAAAAAAGGGCAGAATTTCTAAACGAAAGGAAGAAAGAGGGGGAAGAAAGTCTCCCAAAGAATGCGAAAGCAGTGGTTGGGATACAGAAGTCTGGACTTCTGACTTGGAAAGCAATGATCCTACTTTTGCTAACCCTACTTCTGCTAACCCTGCTGATACTCCACCACCATTAGTAAGACAAGATGCAATGCCATCACACTATTTTTTCTGATATATATATGTATATATTCTAACTATTTCCCCATGAAGAATACATTATAATGGATTGTACACTTCGCAACCCACAAATGTAGCTCCATGAAGTGGCTGATAATATCGCCAATGTCACTGGATCAGCGTTTGGGCCGGAGACGCTATGCCGTACTCTATATAAAGGCTTGGAATAACTCGTAAGAAGGTAAGCTGTGACATTTTCAATAAGTTGGTATGGCTGTGGCATAACACACATGTTGTTTCACCGTGCCAGCCTATGAACAATGTCTAATATGTCTTATAATAAAAAAAGTGATAATTTTGAAAACTGATTTCCTTTTCTCCAGATACAGAGAGTTGCTCTTCAGCAAAACGAGAACCTCAGGCAACAATTCAAGTCCGAAATCAGTGTATTTAGCCCAAACCAACTAGTTTTCGTCGATGAAACTGGCATTGTATGTAGGCTAACAAAAAATAATTATACCTGTCATTTTACTGTTAAGAACTGATCACATTCCTAATTATTTGTACTTTTGTTTAAGGATAAAGCGCTCCCTTCCCGCACCTCCCTTCCTTTACATAGAAAGTGAATAGTTAAACGCCCACATTAGGTGGAGAGTATAAATGTAGAGAAAGTGTCATAAAAATATCATAAATAAAATAGATTCTAACTGGATGTGTCGTTAGTGTGTTATTGAGAATCTCGCTATACAAAAAATAATGGCCGAAACTTCGAGTGATTGCGGCTGAAAGAAAGCAAAAGTTGATGGTTCTTTAGATGGTTCTTCCGCTTCGCGTAAATTTGACGGTGCTGCGCGATTCAAATCAAAATTTCAGCCATCCTGGTCAAAAAAGTGGCCTTGTATTATTGCTGTTCCTCGTTCACCAACTGAGTTCAGGTGTACGGTGTGCGACAAAGTTTGCAGCTGTGCTCATCAAGGGGAATCTGATGTGACAAGACATATTCAAGGTGAAAAGCACCAGAAAAATGTACGAGCTAGGACCAATGCAGCGCCGTTAAGTTCATTTGAGTTTATTTCTACCTCAGATCCACCGAAAGATAAGGTAAAACATTAACATATTGTTGTAGTAATAGTGTATGTATATCAGTGTATGGTTGTTTAAAACAATTTGTTTTACTTCTAGTGAAATAATTAATTATAAGTATTTTTCTAAAAGCTTATTCTATTTTTAGGTCACAACTGCAGAAATTAAAGTTGCTACACTCTTAGTTGAAAACAACATCCCTCTAGCATTTGCTGATAAGCTTAGTCCAATGTTTAAAGAGATATTTCCTGACAGCAACATAGCTAAGAACTACCACAGCGCAAGAATGAAGACAACGTGCATATTGAATGGAGCAATAGCTCCACACGTAAAACAGACATTAGTTAAACAGCTGAAATCCGGAGTTTTTAGCATGTCAACAGATGGTTCTAATGACAAAGACCTCGACAAAATGAATCCAGTCACGGTAAAACTTTTTGACATTAACACGTCAAGAGCGGTTACCCGTTTCCTGGACATGGGAGTGACTCAGGGTGTGGATGCTGCTAAGGCTTCTACAATATTTGAAGCAATCGATGAAGTTATGACCGACAACAGTATACCCTGGAAAAACTGCATAGCCTTCTCTGTTGATAATACCAGTGCAAACCTTGGTCAGTTTAATTCTATTAAGACACAGGTACTTGAACATAATCCTGACTGTTATTTTCTTGGATGTCCATGCCACATTCTTCATAATACCGCCGGCAAGGCCTCTTTGCAACTGAAGGAAGTTTCTGGGTTTGACATTGATGACTTGGCAGTGGATATTTTTTACTATTTTGACAAGTCAACCAAGCGAAAGGCTGCCCTTAGTGATTACACTCAATTTTGTGACTTAGTATATCGCAATATGCTTAAGCATGTGACCACACGTTGGCTGAGTTTAAACACTTCTGTTAACCGCATATTAAGTGGCTATGAAGGTTTGAAGTCCTATTTCCTTTCAGAAGATGATGAAGATTCTAAAATCCCACGTTTTGCTAGGCTTCGAAAGCATTTTGAAAACCCGATGACTGAGATTTACTTGATGTTCTTTCAAACTTCCCACCTTTACTACCGCCAACGAATTCTTGCAGAGAGGAGAGCCAGTTATTCATCTGCTTTTCGATCAACTTGAGTCGTTCCTTAAGAAATTGGCAGGCAAATTCATACGTATTGATGCCATTGCAGCTGCAAATAAAGTGTGTGAGATAGATTTCTCAGATGATGGAAATATAAAGGAAGAAGACAAGATGTTTGTGGGAATTACAACACAGGGAAAGATGATGAAGATGCTCAATGATGGAGATTTAGATCCTCAATAGGTAGAATTACAGTAATACTGCAGAATAATATATTTATAGTTCAGTTCAGGCAGATTATTATTAGTCCATTTATAGAGCATATTATTCAGTGTTTCATTCATTCAGCCACCTTTAATTAATCATTCTTTTACATCTAGGTGCAAAGATTCTATGATGCAGTTGGTGCGTTTTACAGAGCTGCTGCACAGTATGCTGTGGCAAAACTTCCATTTCATGACAAAGTTCTGGAGAATTCTCGTTTTGTTAATTTTGAGAAACGCAGAGAGCATGAATTCACAATGGTCGATTTCTTTCTACAACGATTCCCAGATCATCTAGAAATGAGTGTTGAAGAGCAAGAAAAACTGCAAGAACAGTTCATAGACTATCAACTTTTGTCAAATGATAACATCCCCCAACATGTCTGGAATGATGCGACTGTGAAAACGGATGAAGATGGAACAGCTTGCCTATTTCGAATGGATGTCATTTGGGGGCATTTGAACGCAACCAAATCTGCTGATGGTACACCTCGATTTGATTTGTTAGCGCAAGTTGCTTTAACTGTACTCTGCCTTCCTCACTCAAATGCAGAAGAAGAGCGAGTTTTTAGCATGATTGGAAAGAACAAACGGGCAGAGCATTCAAGCCTTCAGGTTAAAGGAACACTTTCATCAATAATGACAGTGAAGCTTGCAGATTTGAATGCTAAGACTTTCACGCCTCCAGTGTCAGTCTTAAAAGCACCTAAATCTGCTACTTATGAATACAACAAAGCACATAAGCGCAAGCTATAACTCATTAACATTTAAATTTAGAATGACTTTTACTTTTTAAACAATATTAACGAAATAAAAAATAAATGAAATTTATAATTGCAATTGCAGATGTCCGAAAAGTGTTACTTTTGAGATTTTTAATGCCATTTTTGTACCTTTAGAATAGGTATTCCTATAGGATCCTATAGGAATTCCTATAGGATCCTATTGGGCCAAAATCTAATAGGAATTCCTATAGAATTTCCTATAGGAATTCCTATAGGATTTTTTCGTAAGGGGTATTAATCTTTGATGAAGCTGTATATGCGAAAGCACAGCAAGTACGATGGAAATGCGACGAGTTTCTCCCAGAGTTCATTTTTCACCTTGGGGAATTTCATGCCTGTATGTCATATGCTAGAGCAATCTCGTGTCGATTCCGTGATGCCGGTTTACAGGTTAGAATTTATATATGTTTTTGTATTTTTGAAGTGTGACTAACCCTGAATATGATTTTTGCTATGGGTAATATTTGGATCATTCACAAGAAATGTAATGTCAACTTTTTGACTGTCAAAGTTTCTGGATATTATGTCATTAGGTGAAATTTTGGTACAAAAAAACAAAGGAAAACTAATTTGCAATTCACCTAATGACATCATATCTGGAAACTTTGACAGTGAAAAATTTGATCAAGATGGAATTTTTTATTACATTTCTTATTTGAATGACCCAAATATCACACATACAAAAAATCATATTTGGGGTTAGTTGCACTTTATTAAACAAATATGCACAAATATCATGTGCAAATAGTATGTTAACTAGGTAAATGTTAAGAAATGTTCTCAATAGAATTGTGCGACTAATTTTTAAGTCATTCACTAGAGGAAAATTATTCCTAATATGATATCAAGTGAACACCCTCCCTATGTCCAATGTGGTATAGTAAATGAGTTTATAGAATTGTCAGTGATTTGTTCCTCCATTTAAACCCGATTTGCAGGACATTCCAGTTGAATCCGAAACTGTTGCTCAAGGATCTCTGAATGGAGTCTTCAGTGGTAAGCACTACAACCGCTGCATACATGCTCACTCACAAGTTGGTGTTTGAAGGCATGGGAAGCTTACAAGTTGGTGTTTGAAGCCTTTCTTGATACTCAATCAACAGAGCAAAAGGGAGAAATCATTGGCCTAGCTAAGGAGATACATGGCAACTTGGACAAAGAGAGCATCGAAATTTATGGAGGGAATGCTACCCTAAATGACATAGCAAAAAGATAAGTTTTTACTAATTTATTCTGCTGTTGTGTAATTTATTTGAAAAATACAAGGAAACCTTTCATTGACATTTTGAGCGACTTAGAAGGCATTCGCTTCAAATGTTGAAGTTTTCGTTTGGCACTGCAATGTTGAGATAATCAAATCAAATGCAATATTCCTTAGTTTAACCCATCGAGTGGCTGCAGTTTCCCCCATGATGAATAAAATTGTCTGGCGTTAGACAAAGTAAAATAATAAGGTAGAACGCATCTGGGCACATTGCTACGTAAAGGGTTAAAAATGTTCAATATTACACAAAACATTTGTGATATGCCTTTGCTAAGGGGCAGAAGAGGAATTAGTGCCAGATGCATGTTGAAGAGGAAACGAAAAGAAGTGCAACGTTTGACTTTTGGTCTTCCTACATTGACATGGTTCAGCTCTGCTAACGTTTATCAGAGCGACAAGAACAACAAATTGGATGCTTCACCTATCAGCAGTTAGAGCAATGCTTCCTTGGTAATTTGCCTATGACCACATAAATTATGCTCGCAATATGCCTGCATACTGGCTGGAAATGATTTGTTTGGATGAGACACACCCCGGTAAGGAAATTATAACAGCTAATTCAATTTATTAATTATGTTGTCCTTTCAAAACCTTAAACTCAGAGGGTGCAAGGGATGATCAGGGCTATTGCTTATTTAGACTCATAAACTTTGAAATATAGCTTTGCAAGAATAGAAAACATACTTGCTGCAAAGACAATTTTCCGAGTTTAAGGGCCTAATAGGTGAAAACCCATCATCCCTTGCATGTTCAGAGCTTAAGGTTTAAGGTTTTGGAATGACAACCTTAATTTAATCGGCTGTACACTGTACAAGTACGATTCTTCAAATATTGAAATATTTGTTAACATATCTACTCAAAACCTTGACAGATGAATATTTAATTAAATACTGTTTCTATTTGGCTATTTAATTTAATTAAGGTTGACACAGAATAGTCAAATGTACAATGGCTATATATATATATATATATTACAAAGCACCCCCTTTCCTTGTCACATGACCAAAAACAAAAATTAACAATAACATTTGTCACATGGTCCAGCTAGCCTAACCATCTAGTTCTATTAACCATGGTGAAACAGAGCTTGTGAAAATTGAACAAGCTGAAAAAGTTAAAATTAAGCTAATTTAAATACTCTTTAACATTAATTTGCACTGTACCCTAATACACCCAACTTTATTATATTACTTTGTATAACACCAGATGATTTAATTGCATTGTCAAACAGCAGATGGGTGAACAACTTTGTCTGAGAACTGGTGAGAATGGCATAACACAAAATAGCGAGAAATTCGTGTGTAGAACACAGTAGGGCCACTTATACAAGCAGAATAAGCCACAATCCAAACAAGCCACGACCGTGGCACAATAAGCCACAAACAACTCATATAAACAGTCAATTTTCAAAAAGCTGGAGCATACTTACTATTTAGGCATAATGTACGACACCGGGCTTATTTTGGCTGTGGCTTGCTGAGAAATTGACTGTTTATATGATCGCGAGCCGTTCGAAAAAGAGTGTCTGGATCATATATGTCATAAAAAAACAAGTTATATTTTTTGCAAGATACACATTCCACTAAAAAGGTTCTTTATTAGCTGATATCCCAGAACGTTTCCAAATTTTGTAAATAGTGTCATAAACAGCGACTTGATTTAACAATTTTGAGTGGCATGCAATACCCTACAAATATTAACTATTATTTGCGTCAAAAATATGCATTTAACAAAGCCATATCGTACAGTTGCAACAAAGTTTCCTTATCTGGTAAAGCAATCTCAAGAGATGGTGTTGGTAGCAGTAACCTGCAGCAGCATGTATTTGCTGTTGGTATAAAGGATTTACTTTTGCCTACTTCGTGAGATGTCGCAGATGGTTTTACTCCACTTTCATATCCAAGAAGTGGTACCTCCTCATCACAAGTAGCAAATTGCTGTATATTATTTAGGCTAATGCCACTACGATGGCCAGCTAAATGGAAATTGATACATTTGTCATTCATTTTAGGCACATGAATTGATAAATTACATACAAAAACTATTTAACTACACTGCTTTTGCGTTTTTTGTTTGAAATAATAAAATGTCCACAATTAAATTTTTACTTGCTACACTTCTGAGATATTTCAAAAATGCTGAATAAACTTGATTTTCAAACTTCCATTTGTTACTTCCAGCTTCACTAAAATCTGGCTGAAGGAGGGTGGTTAATGACTTCACAGTAAGATTTTTGGATTTCTGGGTTAAGATATGCAAAAAATTGGGTAACTGAACGCCAACCTGTACCAACAGTAAGTGCGATTAAATATTACAAGGAAAATTATTCTGTATTTGCATATATTCTCCATTAGATCACCTGATATAACCCCCGTTTTTTTAAACCCATATGGAGGTGAAGGATACATCTACATGAGCTGTTCCAAATATATTTGCAGCATAATAATCAAGAAATACAGATGTGGCTTACTGTGTCTTCCGGTGACATTCATTTCCGGTAACATTTCTGGTCATGTGATAACAATGCCATAAGTTTATATTAAAATATTTTAGTAGTGCATGAAGAACCTGATGGTCCTTAACGTGAAGAAAAGGGTAAAATAAAGAAAAAATAGGTACGCGGTGCGTACATGTTGCAAGCCAAATGAGTTTTGAACTTAGAAAAATACAATGATGTCGATTTTACAATTGATGTGTGATTGCAGTTGGAATTACCGTTTGACTGAAGCCCATATAGCTTTATGATCACTAAAGTAGGTTTCAAGAATGCCAGCATTAATTTCTTCCTCAATCAAATTTGTATATAAATGATCAATTAATGTTCTGTTATCTGTTGTAAAAGATGATATTAATTGTCGGTAGTCATTTTCTCTAAGCATTAGGTTGTAAAGCGATTGCTGGTCAGTTTCCGCCATCCAGTTAATATTAAAGTCTCCAATGAATATGTTTTGTGAAGAGGAATCTTGATCAAGAATAGTTCGAAGAGCAGAAAGTAGGCGTGATAAAGCAATACTGGGAGAACGATACAACCCAATTATAGTCAGGTTTGGGTGACTTTCGGTTTTGATAATTGTAAACTCAATTCCATTAGTGTTGTGAGCATATCGATAACCTTCTTTTAAAGGGATTCGGCTATAAACAGCTGTTCCACCATATGGTCTTCCAGGACCAGAAAATTGAGAAATATCGTTTCTAAATAGTCTGTAACCATTTATATTGTACATTTCATCAGGGTCCAATGGACTAAACCTTGTCTCAGTAAATATTACAATGTCAGTTGAGGAGTAATTGATGTCTTTCCAAACATCTTCAATGTGTTTATGCAGAGATCGTGCATTGAGGTAACAGACTTTTAAATCAGAATGATCCAACATATACAATGGTGTAAAACAAAGTTTTAAGCTACGTTCAGTTCGTAACATTTCCATTTCTTTGACAACTCTTTGATCAATAGATATTTTATTTTCACATAGATCAGTGATATATAACTCTTCAATTGTCGTAACTCGACTTAAAGCAACATAATGTATATGAGGAACAGTCCTGTTAGTATTTAAGTTTACAACAATTTGAGCCTGAGTATCACCTTGTGATCTGTGTA